CCCAAGACAGTCCAAGACCGATTAGACTTTTTGCTTAGCACGTCATCAAGAGGAGAGCATGAGAAGCTTATCTGCACCACCGAAGGAAACGGTCCAAACTTTGACCACGTTTCATGAAGAGCTCCCCAACCTCCTCCTTCCGTTGAGGATAAGTCATGATCTCCACCAGAATGATCTCTTAGCTGCGATAAAAGTAGCCTTGAGGATAAGTCATGATCTCCACCGGAATGATCTCTTAGCTGCGATAAAGTAGCCTTGAGGATAAGTCATGATCTCCACAAGAATGATCTCTTAGCTGCTATAAAGTAGCCCCAATCTGTGAGGAGACGGAAGGAAAAAAATGGCACGCCCCACCAACACTTACAGAGGACAGACCGACGACCGGAGACCACTCCTTCTTTGATTCCCCATTCTCTTAAAGCTTGTATCTCTATTCTCCATACCTCTGAATTAATAAAATACCCGGCAACTGAAGCCATTGAAGAGTGGACGTAGGTCGAATTGACCGAACCACTATAAATCGTGTCTTCTTTAATTTTCTCATTGATTTCATTGCATTTATTACCTACACTTGACAGGTGGTGTGCAAAACCATTTTTGTGCATCATCAGTTTGGCGCCGTCTGTGGGAATTCGACAAAATTCTCACTCCTGAACATTACATCCATTAACTAATGGCGATCACTACTCGATCCATGAACCAACATGAAGACAATCCTCCACGAGAGGAGGAGGTTGCTCCCCCGCCTATCAACCCTGTTCCGGATACTCTAGCCCCGAATCCCCAGCAAATATTGGAGACCATGCAGCAACTAGTTGCTCAAAACCAACAGTTACTGCAACTCATACTTGCTGGACAAGAAGGAGCACCACACGGAGGTGCACAACATGGAGGACACCAAGGTGGAGCACCACACGGAGGTGCACAACATAGAGCACCCCAGAGAGCTCCACGTCCTGGACATCAAGGAGCACCACGCCCTGTTGCTCCACGCTCGGGCGCCCCATTGGGCGCCCCACTTCGGGAAGCCCAACCTGAGGGAGCTCCCCCTCCCCCTCCCTTTGCTTCCCAGGGAGAGGACCTTTATCTCCAGGAGGATGAGGGTGAAAACCAAAGCATGGAGCATGGAAGCCACTTCCATGATCATTCCAGAGAAGCCCCCAATCATTGGGACGAAAAGATAAAGGAGGTACAGAATCAACTCGGTGATGTCTTCAACGCCATGAAGGCACAGGTACCCGAGACTGTTGACCACCTGGTAAGGCGTACTGATACGCCTTTCAAACCTGATGTAGCAAACGACCCCCTCTCTCAGAAGTTTAAAATGCCATATGTAGAGACCTTTGATGGAACAAAGGATCCATTGGACCACCTCGACACTTACAAGACCTTGATGCAATTGCACAACGTAACAGACGAAATCATGTGCAGGGCATTCCCAACCACGTTAAAGGGGTCTGCCCGACAGTGGTTTGCTAAGCTCTCCCCCGCCTCTATTGCCTCTTTCGCCGAACTTAGCAGATCATTCGTCTCACACTTCATTGGAAGGCGTCGCCACCAGAAGCCAGTTACGCACTTGTTTAGTATAAAGCAGGACCGCGAGGAGAGCCTGAGGAGTTACCTCACTCGTTTTAACGAGGAGGTACTCCAAGTTGATGAACCCGACGACAAGGTGACGATGATCGCCTTCTTGGGTGGCCTCCGTTCATCAAGCTTCCTTTTCTCAGTTCTGAAGCGTCCACCGAAGAGCATGCCAGAGCTGCTAGCCAAAGCCCAAAAGTACATAAACGCAGAAGACATCACAAGGGCCAGGCGGGGTGAGTCTTCCAGAGCAGGGGATAAAAGGAAGGAAAGGGAGAGGGATGATAAGAAGGGGACCAGCAACAAACATGGCAGGACAGAGAAAGTCCCTGTCAAGAACCGGCTAGGTCCTGCTCCTCAGAGGAACCGTCAACCCTTCACTCCCCTCAATGCTTCCGTGGAACACATCCTATTCCAGATCCAGGATGACCCCGCGATAAAGTAGCCTGGAAAAATGAAGTCTCCTCTAAATCGCAGAAATCCTAACAAGTATTGCCGCTTCCATCGTGACCACAGGCATGACACCGATGATTGCTACGACCTCAAGAGGCAAATTGAGGGGCTCATCCAGCGTGGTCAGTTACGCCAGTACGTTGCTGGAAGGGAAAGAGCACCACAACCTCACAACCAGGAAGATCAGCAGCCAGTGGGGGAAATCCACACCATCTCAGGGGGACTAGCAGGTGGGGGAGAATCATTTTCCGCGATGAAGGCCCATGCCAGGAAGGCAAGACATTTCTACGAGATGCGCCCATCTAAGGTGCCAAAGCAGGAAGGTGACGTGGTCATATCTTTTTCAGACAAGGACCTGGAGGAAATCCAACACCCCCATGACGACCCCTTGGTGCTCACCATGACGGTGGCCAATTTTCATGTGTACAGGATCCTGGTGGATAGTGGCAGCTCTGCGGATATCCTGTTTGCAGAGGCCTATGACAAGCTGTGAGGAGACAGAAGGAAAAAAATGGCACGCCCCACCAACACTTACAGAGGACAGACCGACGACCGGAGACCACTCCTTCTTTGATTCCCCATTCTCTCAAAACTTGTATCTCTATTCTCCATACCTCTGAATTAATAAAATACCCGGCAACTGAAGCCATTGAAGAGTGGACGTAGGTCGAATTGACCAAACCACTATAAATCGTGTCTTCTTTAATTTTCTCATTGATTTCATTGCATTTATTACCTACAGTTGACAGGTGGTATGCAAAACCATTTTTGTGCATCATCAGAGTTGATTATGAAAACTTGTTTTTCATATGTAAATTCATGGAATTGAATATAATTGAGTTGGTATGGATCTTGTGTAATATGAAAATCTTCATATACTTGTGTTGGATAGAGTTAATATGGCTTGAACCTACCGATAGGATCGTGTACAAGCAGAATTTTGCTTATCAGGCAAAACCTACTGATAGGACTTTTTCAGTAGGCAAAACTTACCGATAGGTTCTTTAAAAATTTGAAAATTTGATATTGCTTTGCCATGCTTTTGGACTTTGGTTCTAAGGATATACATGGACATAAAATAAGGATAAATAGTGGTATATTGGACCTTGGTTGATCAAATGGTATAATGTACATGGGTTACACACGTGGGTGATGATCCCGGTTAAGGGGATGCTTTTGACGTAATGTCAGGTTGTGCGACAAATCACGGATACTTTTGTAGGTTGACGGACGATCAACAGGTTAACAAATGATCTTCAGTTTAGGAGCGTCACAGTATGTACACCAAACTTTATTTTTGTAGATCCTATATCATATATAAATTTGGATAAGACTATAACACCTTCAAAAATAATTTCGATACCATGCTGTCACATATTAGGAGTCGTAGATCTTTGTGTGACAACATTTATTATAGTCATTAATAGTAACAATAACAAAAATATATATATATATATGTGTTATATTTTTATTGGACAAAAAATAATGATATGGTGTCCAAAAAAAATTAGAGTTAATTATAATCTGTCCCTCCAACTAATGTTGCTTATTGCAATCAGTTTCCTGTGGTTTCAAATGCAACAATTTGCCCCTCCAAGTTTCAAGTGGTTTAAATTGATTAATAATTATGGCTGAAGACCTGAAAGAACTTTTACACAATTTATTTTGTACCTTATTTTTCATATTTTTTTTTAAATACCAATTTAGTTCCTAAAAAATAAGAAAACAAAAAACTAAGGCTAAAAAATAAAAAGATCTTCACACTTCCGCCTCATCATATGGAGGTGAGGGTTTCTACCAGAAGTGGGAAGGGAATGAGAGTTAAAGATAAGGGAGGATGGAAGAGGGGGTAAGGCTAATGGGGAAGTATGTATATCTGGTATAGGGGAAAAAATAAGTGTAAGGATAATGATCTCTTTTTAACAAAATAGGGATCACGTGAATTTGATATTGTTAATTTTTTTGTCAATTTTTATTGTCTAAAAATAACTATTTTAAATTATACAAATTTAAAAGAGTCTGTTTATTGAAATTAAAATCTGAATGAGTGACTAACAAACTATCCAAAATTAAAGGGACATTTTGTAATTAACCCAAAAAATTATATTGGGCTGTCGTCATGGGCGGAGCTACACAGGGCTGTGCCCACTCTCAATTTTTTTTACAAAAATATTATATGTATACTTATATTTATACATTTTAAAATTTATATATATATATATATATATATATATATATATATATATATATATATATATATATATATTTTTATGTCAACCCTATAAATTTCTTATTTCAATTGTTTAGTCTTTTTTATTGTATTAAGGCTTTCTCTATATAACATTAATTTTATTATTTATGAATTTTTACAAGTAAAAGTTCTTGCAATTGACCTTTATTTGACTCTATTTTTTTCTATAAGAAATTGTCTCTATTTTTATTCGAGTATTGATTATAATATTTATTACGTGTTAATCAATTGTCAATTTTTTTAGTTTAATAATTTTATAATGTTAATATCTCAGTGATAATGTTTGAAACATCATTTATTGAATAAATTTAAAAGATTATTAGTGAATAAGTAATAATTTTTTAATTACAAAAATGATAATTAGCCTCACTTTTTTGTAATGGTGATAATTATTCATTTTTTTTTATAAATATACAATATATATTATTTTTTGTCCTTTTTATGTTAATAATGGATATCATGTATCAAATATGATATAATAAATATAAATATATTATATAGTATGATTAATTAAGAGGAAAAAAATTAAAATTTATAATTAAAGTGTATACCTAAACAAAATTTATGCCTCTGCCGACACCTCTAGCTCCCACGTATTTAATTCCATGCAAGCAAAGGCATGGCAATGGTATATAAAATGCCCAGCAATAATAGCACACTGCCATAAACCACAGAAACTAAAGCCAAACGCAAGTTCTCTCTCTCTCTCTCTCTCATGGCTGCCACTACAGGGCACTGCATTGCAAGGTTCATAGACCCAGAACCAATGAAATACTCCATCTCAGCCATTTCTATTAGACAATCTGTCAATGTTTTCAAAAAAGTATGCTTGCCGCTTTTCTCCATATTAAACTTTCTTCTTCTTGAACTATACATAATATATTTTCGGTTCACTAACCAAGTTTATGACTCTGGAACAGAGAAACCTGCTCTGTTCAATGTCCATGAATGGTTGCCAAGGTGAACCCAGACTACCGGTGGGCACCGTCGAAACGCGCACTTTACCGGCAGTTTTGAGCCCTGCATTGGCCGTGGACCGCCTCAAGTCCGCCGTGTCAGAATTACAATCCGACCCACCTCCGTTCGACTCTGGAATCATTCGCCTCCAGGTATATTTTCACCTGCCACTCTCAATAATGTACTGTTTCTTCAATATGCGTGTTATGGTGAGTCTCGGTCCAATGGCTCAAGAACAAGATAGACTCTATTCTTACCGCATTGCACTCTTATCCGCAGTGCCGGCCCACGTCTTAGACCCTCCAATTTAATACATATATTTGTGGTACCAACGTTTAAGATATTTTATGGGTATTCAAAGTTATAAACGTTATAATAGTAAATGGGTTGTTGACTGAAGATTCCAACGGGATTTTCTTATTGCCTATATAAAAGGTATTAGGTAGTACCTGTTGGCTATCCTTTTGCGGATCAACTATATACAGCTTGTCATTTTGTCTTATAGCACAGCTCTTCTTTCTTTATTCTTCAAGCAGAGATATCACATCTCAACAACCACCTACTGTTATAGTCTTATAGGTTTTTTATTTTTACTACGTTAAATTATTTTATTATTTGTCGATTCTATTTGAGTTGGGGTCACCTTCCCTTCCAATAGACTGATTAAGGAAGTACTGTTACGAGCGTGGATTGGATCTTGAAGTCATTAATGTCTATCAATACTTTCACGTGGAAAGACTTAGTTGTTTTAAGACAGTGATTACACGCCTCTCAGACTTACATGCCAACTCTTTCATTTTTTTCTCTTATATATATATACTAGTAACAACGTGTCTAAAAGCACTTTGCAATTTAAGAAAATCCTTCAATTTAAAATAATTTTTTATCTTTATTTATTTTAATTAAAGAAATTGAAATTAATATATTCCTTTCTATTTTTTTTAGAAATTTTTTTGTAAATAGTAACCCATAAAAATTTCAACCTGTCTACAGTCACATTAATTGCATTATTGCCCAACACAAATCATTCAACCTCTCAACACAAACCATTGCATAACCAATCTCAAGAATAAATTACTCAACCCCAACTAAAAAACAACATCAAATTTTAATAACTACATAATATAAGCTAAAATCTCATTTATATGATAATAACGAAAGTTATAGATACATTATACATGCAAGTCCAACTAAAGAACTAAATCCACATAAATAAGAATCCTTTGATTTGAATATTCTATATTTTGAAGGATCAACCAATAATGAAATTGCAACCCTTCCAATAACTCTTATTATTTATCCATTCATGTAACCCACTACAATTTGTGGTCTTATTAATCGCTTCGAGATCTCAATTGCATTACTCACAAAACATTCTTTCTAATACAATTCAATAACAGTAAATATGAAATAAATAAATGATCACCAAAATTATCTTATGCAATTACAATTTTTTTCCCACAACTCATTCTACACATAGCATGTTAGAGAGCCACTTGGTACACTTGATTCTTTCAGATGTTCAAGAATACCCATTTCCTTCAGAATACGACCTGTACAATTATCAAAACAATGTCCAATCTTATTATTTTAATAACATTAGTTGACAACAAACCACATTGCTAGCAAAGAAGAACATGTAATGGAAAAAGAACAAATCATATAATAAAAACAAAGCCTTAAGTTATATTCAAAATTTATTGCATACCTTTCAAGTTGTTAAATTAAAGACATAAGACCATGAGCCTAGTCAGGTTTGCCAGTTTGTTTAGGTATGTCGTTCCATGCCACTTGTTTTATCCCTAGCGTAGTTAAAATAATAGGTCAATGTGCAAATTTCTTCGAAAAGTCCTAAGATTAATATCATAACAATTAGCTTTAAGTATTAAAATTTTAAGCAAACAAAAAGAGTTATATTCAACTAAAACAATTCAAAATAGCAAAACCTTGTGTTACTAAGTAACCCACAACAAAAACCCAGCATCCAATTTCATAAAAAAAATAAACAAATTATGAAATTAAACCTCAATCACAATCAAAATAAACCTTACGTTCAAGTTCATTTCCATAACTACTCTAACATTCAATCAAAATACCACAAACAACTATGACATTCAATCAAAACCCTATAATTCAATTTAATGAAAATAACCCAAATTTGAATTGTGACGAACACGGTTTCATGAAAAATCCAAAATTGAAAACCCTAGCATCAATTGCTCAAAACTGAACAACCAATTTGAAACTATAACATTCAATTTCCTACAAAACACCCAAGTTAACACCCAATTTGAAAAAAAATTAAATAAACAACTAAAGTAATTGATATGCTATTATAGGCAGCCAAGCACACAACAAAACAATTCTTATAAACAAATATAAAAAAAGGAGAGCTAATTTAATGAAGAATTTCAATTTTTTAATTTTGTTCAAACTATATAGTCCTCCACATAAATATGCTCAAAAATAATATCAAGAAGGGACAACATTACCTTTGTCAAGATGGTGGTTCCTGCCTTTATTGCTCATCTTTTTCATTAGTTTCTATGCGCCAAACCTTTCAAAAGACAATTACATTAAAAAAAAGAAGAAGAAGAAATTACTACAAATGGACAAACACGCAACAGAACTTACTTTGGAGTAGGCCCTAAAAGAATAACCAAAGCAAATGCGAAATTTTCAGATTGCACAAACACACAATAGAAAAAATGAAAAAATAAAACAAAAGCTCAAGACTGAAAATAGGAAAATAAACTAGATAGATGAAAAATGAAACTAAAATACATGGACAGGAAATTAAAAATTAGAGAGATGAGCAATTAGTGAAAAATCAAATAGATAGAAAAATCCACCTCGTTGAAGCAATACTACAAACACTTGGTGTTCGAATTATCTTTTGCTTTGGCATTACTAAGAGACAGAGTGAGTGTTACAGAGAGTGGGTGGTAGTCGCTGGTGGTGGTCTAAATGGCTCTCTAAATATGGACAGTCTGTGAGGGAGGGTGGCGGTGGATCTTTGAGAGAGAAGACAATATATAGAGAAAAGGACTGTGACGGTTGATGGGGGTGGTCTAAATGACTCTCTAAAGATGGATAGTTGGGTGAGGGAGGGTGGCGGTGGGTCTTTGAGAGTCTCGTGAGACAGAGAAGGTGCAACTAGAGAGAGAGAGGGGGTACCTAGGTAACATCTACTGATTGAGCCATGGCAGAGGAGCGATTGATCAGTGAGAGAGAAGGAGATGAGGGGCATGAGTTGGATCTTTATCCGTAGAGGAGAGAGAGAGAAAGAGAGAGTTTGGCTTAGGTTCGAGTGCTTGGGGTGCCGTGTGTGTGCAACTAAAATGGGCGGAATTTGAGTATTGGATGGGATAGATTGTGAGTCATTGAATTTAATTAGATAAGTTTATATGAGATATGAACTGTATGTTTAAACTTCAATTAAATCCTAACCACTCTTTTGCTTTTCTAAATTGAGAAGATTGAATTTAATTTGGAAAGTTTGATATCACCTCTATCTTATAAGTATAGATGAGAGAGAGAGAGAGAGAGAGAGAGAGAGTTAAATAAGAGATAGGAGTCTTAAAAAAATTTTGCATAAGGATTGTCGGATCAATAATTATCAAGAGATCTGAGCCGCGAAAAGTTAAAAATAAAGAAATCTAGCTACTTTATTATATATAGAGAGAGGAGATGTGATAGTATATTTAAAACGTTTAAGAGATAAGAGTAAGAGTTATATGAGAGATAGGAGTGTTAGAGTTAAGTCTAATTATGATAGTCGAATCAGTATTTATGAGATGATCTGAACCGTCTTTTATGTTGAAATTATGTTGTTCATTAAATGTTTATGTTTTGTTTTAAAACAATCTGGACCTCTCTTTGTCTCCAAAATTCAAACTCAACTCTACTTTATTTTATATAGATATACTAGTTATTTCCCATGCTTAAAGGCACAAAATAATAAAAAAATAGTCAATAATAAGTATAATTGTATTCACACCCAAAATCAAATTACAAAGATAAAAGATAGAGAAAGGAATTTAAACACTGCTTGTAGTGGGGGCGAGTGGTGGTGGGTGACAGTGATGGTGATTAGGGGTGTCAATCGTGTCGGATTAAACGGGTGACGGGTGAAAAACGTATGAACCCATACATGACACGTTTAATAAACGGGTAAAAAATTTTAACACGAACACAACCAGTTTAATAAACGGATAATACGACACGACTCGTTTAACCCGTTTAATTTTAAAAAAATTATTTCAACAACTTTTAATACTCTATTTTTTTTTTACTACTAATTGCACTTACCTTAAGAGGAATTTTAAATCAAATCTCATAAAAATAAGACTTGAAGGCTTTAAAAAAAAAAAAGCAATAGGCTATTGATTTGCCTTTGTCTTACCCTCTCCATTTCCCCTCATTTTCCAATGTGAGACAAAAATAAAAGATATTGATTTGCCTTTGTCTTTGAAGTGTTCTACAACTCCTCTCCTTTGTCTTTGAAAAATAAGACTTGAAGGATTTAAAAATAAAAGCAAGAGGTCATTGTCTTTTATAGGCAACTCAACCCTCCTTATCTTCCCTCATTTTTCAATGTGGGACAAAAACAAATGACATTTGTTTACCTTTACCTTTGAAGTGCTCTCCAACTCTTCTCCTTTGTTTTTGAACTACTACTTTACTTTTTTTTTTTGATTGATTTCTTTACTTCTTTTTTCTTGCTAATTTTTTAAAATAATTATTAATTTATTATTATATTAATTTTATTTAAACGGATAAACGTGTGATAAATGATTTGATAGGTCTCATTCGAACACGACCCGTTTATTAAACGTGTTTGGCGTGTCAACTCGTTTATCACCCAAACCCGTTAAGATCTCACTCAAACCCGTTTAATTCGTGTCGGTTAATCGTGTCGTATCGAATTTTGACAACCCTAGTGGTAATGAAAGATGGTGTGATGGGTGACGACGATCGGTTCTGATGGTGGCAATCGTAGGCGACAATGGTGGGGCAGTGGAGGTGATGGTGGCAATATTTTTTAAAAAAATATTTATGAGAAGTTATAAGTTCTAAAAGTACTTTAAAAAGTTATCTCAAACACACCTTTGAGGGTCTATTTTTCTTATTAAATTGGAGGTGTTAATATTAGCTGTCGGATTAACTTTAAAGTAAAATTTAAAGAGATTTCAACCGTGAAAAGTAAAAGTTATTTTATTTATCTTTTGAGATTTGAATTGTATTGTACTTTATTATATATATACTAGTTATTACCCGTGCCTGAAAGCACTATGTAAAAAAAAATTGCACTTGAAAATAATGTATAACACAATACCAATCAGAATACAAATCTTTATTTAAAAAAAAAAATTGACACAGTACAATCCTTTATAATACAAACTTCTCTAAAATGCTCTTATAGTTTTAATGGACAGAAAGAAACTCCTTGTTGTATTTGTTCGTTCATTATTGGGGCTAGAGAAAGTCCTCAATTCCAAGGAGAATTCGCAAAAATTTGTTTCCATTGAGAATTGAATGGAGTGCTAAAAATATTTTTATTTGACACATTGCGGACTTATTTGTTTTAGACACCCAATACTTCCCAAGCTCAAGTCATTATGTCTCATTCTCTTTGTATTAAAAAACTAAAACTCCACACTGTTTGCATCAATCCAAAAATTAAAGTTACATAACACCAAAAAAAAAATCATTCGCTCACTCGATGAAACCATATATGAAAAAAAAAAACGTTCACTAAATGCTAAAATCAAATGGGCCACTCAAATTCATCGGTAATGAATTCAAAAATTGTCATCGTACAATCCAAAATAAAAATATCCAAATACTAAAGAAAACAAATTAGTTATCATGATCAAATTATTTTTTCGCACTAAACACAAAACTGTCTAGGGGAAAGTAAACACTGTGATCAGAATAGTTACTACTAACAACTATGAAATTTTACATTTCTAGTCCATGCGACTTTGATAAACAAAGAGACCACAAAAGGTAGTGCATGTGACTTCGATTAACAAAGAGACCATAAAATGGTGTTCAATACCATAGAAAAAGTACATGTGAATGCAATTTCAATTAGTTAACACTAAATCATAACAAAATGGGATGATATTCATAACCTACATATTATTCATTCATAATCAACTATGCAGGCAGACCTTTTGAGCTATCAAAATTTGATATTTTAACTCACCCAAGTGCTTATATTTATTGCATATTATAATTCATGGCTATTTCGAAAAATTAGTTGCAAGCATAACTTCAATTGTGATTTTCAAACCAATACAATCCTATCTTATAAAAGGGACAAATCCAACTTACAGAACACTGCCAAAATATCACCCAAATAGAACCCCTAAGCAATAAAAAATAAGTCACGTCCAAAATCAAATCTTTCCATTGATACATAACAAATGCATTGTTGAATATTTACAATAGAAAAAAAGAACAACACCTTCCAGTGTATTGGTTTAGATGATACCATCCACGACTTCAACCACATCAACTGTATTCATCTAAAAAATCATGTCAAAGTAATCATTTCAAAACCGACAACCACTCCATCCATAAAATTGAATAGGCTATAAACTAATTGAATCAACTATTTGCAAAAAATGGTAAGAATGACTTGTATTATGACAATGATAAAATTAAATAAGTCCCCAACATTTTTTTTTTTTTGAAAAATTTGGAATGATTTTTGGAAAACTTGTAACCCTAAGATGTGAAAAACAACAGACACCATTGCGTAGAATGAAATATGTAATAGACATCCCAGTTGAATAAGTTTAAAACTAATTAAACATCAAACCCTAATGCTGAAGAAGTTTAAATATATACCTTTCGGCAACCAATAAAGACCCATCGCTGTAAACAATGATAGGTTGCGGCATAGTGACGATTTTCCTTGATTTCGCAGTCGATGTCAAAGTTGAAATCGGGTCTTTCATAAAAAAAAAATTCCCACGACTAATTGCGAAAATAAAAATTCTAATTGGCATACAAACTAAAATTTGATTTCTAATTTGCAAGAAAAAATTAGAAAAAAATCTCAACCAAAATTAATTCCTGAATTGCAAGAAATCTATCCAAAGATCAAACCTTAATTCTAAAGAAGTTTAAATACATACCTTTCGGCAACCAAGAGAGACCTATTGCTCTAAACGATGACACGTTGTGGCATAACAACGATTTTTACTTGATTCTGCGGTCAATGTCGATGTCGATGTCAATGTCGAAGTTGAAATCGGATCTTTCATAAAAAAAAAAAAAAATCCTGCGACTAACTGCAAAAATAAAATTCTAATTGGCATATAAATTGAAATTTGATTTCTAAATTGCAAGAAAAAATTATAAAAAAATATCGGCCGAAATAGATTCCTGAATTGCAAGAATCCATTCAGACTGTGTACGTGATTAAGATTTGCATTTGTGTGGTGTGTGTGCAAAGGGAATATGTGGGTGTGTAGGCAGGCGAGTGATACAGAGGGGGGGAAGAGAGGAGGGAAAAAGACAAAGAAAAAGAGACAGAGAGAGGAGTCCTTTACCCTTGGTTAGCAAAGGGGTCAAAGAAGAGAGAGATATATAAACAAAATAGGGAGTGAGACTGGGGGTTTCTAGGTTACGATTTTTCGGGGAGGGTTCGGGAGGGGGGGTTATTTATAGGTTGGGGTGATAGAGATAAACAGAGAGAGATAAAAACAAAAGCGAAGAGAGTGAGAGCACAAAACCTAGTAGAAATGGCGGGCAGCGGTGGTGGAGGTAGGATGTCGTTGGTAGAGAGAGAATGAGAGGGTGAGAGACAGATGTTGGGTGGGTGTATACAATTTAACGGATAGACTGAGAGAAGAGGGGAGGATAAGAGAGATAGGGAAGATAGAGTCGTGATAGATTGGGAGAGAAAGGCAAAAGTGAGAGAGATAGAGGCAGAAATGAGACGAAGAGGCGTGAGACGGAGGCCTGTGTTGGGCGAGAAAGAAAAATATAGTACTCATTGTTGATCGTTAGATCATAATTTTTGAGATGATCTGAATAGTCTTTTATGTTGAGATTACATTGTCTATTGGATGTGTTTATGTTTTGTCTCAAAATGATCTGAACCTCTCTTTGTCTTTTGGATTCAAACTTAGCTCTACCCACGACATCCCACACATATAAAACACCAAGGAGTTTAAATTTTTATCCCCACATGTTTTCCCTCCCAAAACCATCTCATCACTCATTCTATCACATGTTTAACCATTTAATGTTTGATTAATTTGTAGTTTAACACAATTTTTGTTTTATTCATTGTACATACATGATAATGTACATGTGTTAAAAAAATTTGTGGGGTTATACATTTTGAGAAAATTTTGATGCTACTTTTTAAAAAATAATAGATAAAAATTAATTTTAAATGATGTAATCAAATAAACGAAGAAATAAAAGGTTATTATTTTTAATATAGTGAGATCAATTTTTTAAACGTTCAAATCTTATATTTCATTATGCTTTTAGGCACTGGTTATAACTATATCTATATAATAAAACACAAAAAATTGAATTTTATCCCCAATGCATTTTCCCCTCCAAAGCTATCACATCACCAATTTCTCACAAATGTTCAATCATTTAATATTTAAATAATTTTTAGTTTACATAATTTTTATCTTAAACATTATCTATATTCTATACACGATAGTATATGTATTTTATCAAAAATTTTATCAAATTACGTATTTTGAGAAAATTTGAAATGATGTAATAAAATATATAAAAATTATTATTTAATATAATGAGATCAATTTTTTGAAGGTTCGAATTTTATCTTTTATCGTATGTTTAGGTACGGGTTATGACTAGTATATAAATATTCTGTTTGATCAAGTTTTAATTACATATTGGTCTTTAATTAATTAAACTATTGGACAATTGCTAGATTTTTCATAGTACAAATACATCACTAATGTTCCAGTACCCTTTTTATTATATTAGTGTTAATATGTTTGCTAGCTAGTGATCACTTACTGTTGCACATCAATTACTATTACTGTACCATAAGTCCTGTTCATAAGCATTTCATTGTTCATATCATATAAATTATTTTTATGAAAAATTAATTAATGTTATTTCTCTTTTCTTGTGTAAGTTTTTGAATATTTAATTACAACCAATCCTTATCCTTGTCTATTAAAAAAAAAATAAACATAACACAAAATTAGCAAAGCCTAAAATTTGACAAATGTCTATTTTATGCTTTGAGAGAATATGTAACTTTTGTTTTTACAATTCAAGGGGTGTAAGTTTAATTTCCTTTAAGATTTGTGGGTTTTCAAAATTTTGATTTCTTGATGTTTGAAAACAAAGCCAAATATGAAAAAAGTTCTTCCTTTTCTCACTATTGGTTTGGCTTTTAGGTGCCAGTCCAAGAGCAGATTGAAGCACTTGATTGGCTTCATGCCCAAAACCAGCTTCTACCACGCTGTTTTTTCTCAGGCAGGAGCCAAAGTGTTGGTTCTGATTTACTTGTTGATGTAAATCAAAGAATCAATGGAAAAGGCCATACTTCATCTGAGGGGCACAAACTTATCAGTGTCGCTGGCATTGGTTCTGCTGTCTTCTTTCGCCATCTCCATCCATTCTCATTTGATGATTGGCGATCCATAAAGAGGTAACAAAATGTAGGAAAGAGTAAAAAACACTTCTAAATATTAAAAAAAAAAATTGATGTTTTGTGTTTCTTTAGATTTTCTTCTTTTTGCTCTTGAAAATGGTAGAATGAGCATGAAATGCGAAGAATGCATTGGGGTTTGTTTCAGAAACTATCTTCAAATAGTTTTCTGCAATATCCCATTTTCAGGGAAATGGGAAGAACTCAAGTTCAGATGATACTGAACAGTATGATTGTCTATAACTTTCAGGGAAAGAGCTTTATTTGATTTGAAACAAATTTTCTTAAATTGAAGATTCCATATATGTGATTAAGCCTGTTGCTTGCACACATTTTTTAGTTTTAATTTGTACTGGTAATTTAGAGCATCAAGTACAAAGAATTCATTTGATCACCCAAATGTGTTATGATGGTTTTAGGGACAACTTAGGATCATGTGGATGAAAGAAATTGGAAGAATTTATCACACAGTTTTTTCTGTAATTTTGAAAGCCTTATCTACAATATGGAATCCTAATTTATGTTCTTTAAATCGAAGGTTCCTCTCTGAGAAATGCCCTTTAATTCGTGCTTATGGAGCCATCCGCTTTGATGCAAGGGCTAACGTATCACGTGAATGGGAGGCTTTTGGTTCATTTTACTTCATGGTTCCACAGGTAAATACTTTGTTTTCCTCTCATGAAGTAGTCGTAATCATGTATATAAATATAATCAGGTCATGGGTATATCCTAAATGACAGGTTGAGTTTGATGAGCTTGAAGGAAGTTCAATGCTTGCCACAACCGTTGCGTGGGACAATGCCATCTCATTGACATACGAAAAGGCAGTTGCTGCACTTCAGGCTACAATGCAACAGGTCTAGGTGTTGCAATTTTTTTCCTTAATTACTTTCATATAAAAACCAAAGGTTTGTTTTCCTCATTTTCTGATATAAAAATAAATTTAGAGGCTTTTGTTTATATTTCAATTTGATTTAGCAGGTCTCCTCTATTGTCTTGAAGTCACAAAATGAAGTACCTAGTACATTCATCCTCAGCAATAATCACATTCCTGGTAAAACATCTTGGGCTCTTGCAGTTAATAGAGCTTTGCAGATGATAAACAGTAGCAACTCATCCCTCAATAAGGTATAAATAGAACTACATGTTACTCCACTATAGTATATAACCTTCTGTTGAGACAAGTTAAGTTGCAATAGTGACTGGCAACTGATGATTGTATCGCTTGACTAATATATTCTTGATTAGATGGTCGGATTCACAATGTTAAAAATCAGAATTTCTGAGAATTTCTTTCTTTTTTTACATGGTTGTGAATGTAGCACTATATAAATGCTCTCCCAGCCCATATTTACCATCTCTTTTACTTATTTTCTATTAATTGTTTTCTAATACATCAATTTCTTGTGGAAATTTAGGTTGTGCTTGCACAAAGCAGCAATGTTATGACCACACCTGATATTGACCCTTTAACTTGGTTGTCTTGCTTACAGGTGTTGTTTGCTTTAGTCATAATGTGTGACCTTTTTCGGAGTCTTACTTCAATTGCTAATAAAATTTAGTACACCTAACACATGCAGGTTGAAGGACAAAACTCTTACCAGTTCTGTCTTCAGCCTTCTGATGCACCAGCATTTATTGGGAACACTGTAAGTGCAATCATTTATCCTATCAGTTATTTAGAAGCCTGTCTACTCTTCTGCTTTGTTATAGGCTTTCTAAAACTACACTACATTTCTTTTTAACTGCATGTCAAAGATATATTTTTAAGCAATACGTTTTGCTTTATTAAAATAGAAAGCATTGGAAAGTTTTATGCGTTTAGGTTAATATGTTTTCAGGAGGTGCACCAAGCAGTTAGAAAGGCTTAAGAAAATACATCTAGATAATGCTTTTGACACCATCGTTTGTTCAATTTGTGTGTTTCTACCATGTGGTTTGAAATGGTACAAAATTGTAAGAGAGTGAAAACCATTGGGAGTCACAGGACAGCGAATCCCTTTTGTCATTCATTGATGTATTGGAATCAAATACGGAGACCTAATAATTAGCTCCACCATAGTATTATATTTATCATATTGACATGCATTGATATTTTGTGTTTTAATTGACCTGTAGTGCTGTAAAGATTTGTTATGACATGATCTATGGAATGCTGTTCCATTTTAGAACAAGTTTGTATTGTCGTTTGTAATTTCTGTGAAGGCTAACTTTATCTGTAATCTAGCTGATCAGTACACACTTATAATTCAGAATTTTTGGCATGCAATTAGTATATGATGAATGCACTGGACACTGAACTTTCCGTTAGATGGGAGCCTGAAGCCATTGATTAAAACCGAGGAGTGTGAATGTAAATTAGATGAAGAATGTTTGGTTTGTTGTCTCCTACGAAAGCATGACTAAGTTTCAGCCTTCAAAACTCGAGGCGTACCATTTATCACATGATTTGTCCCAAACTATGTTAGAAAATTACTCAAACAACAACATAATACGAAGCAGAGTAATTATGAGTTCTTGTTCTTACAGTTCTTCACTTCTTCTGGTCCTCAGATATCAGTAATTAGACTTATTCTTCTTACTTCATTAGTTGCGTAATGGTACCCTTTGTTGCCTTATTTATTTCAATCCAAAGTTTCTGAGTAGGGAATGCTAGTCATTAGGTCAGACACTCGAATTTTGGCTTATGCAAGCATGTTAACTGTTAGAATAAATCTGTGCTTAGGGATAATGTGATTATGAGAATTAATGTTACTAGGCGTGTTAAGTAGTGCTACCTCCAAGTTAACAGCATCCAATGAAATATCAATACATCTCCATAAAGATGTGATAAAAAAGGTGATGCCGAATGCATACTTTCTTTTCATCGCCTACGAGAAAGTATTTTTTTTGATTTCCAGCTCAGGATATGCATTGCATTGTCACTGCCTCTTAAAAAGTGATATTGGACATGTTTGCCATTTGTGCTTAGAATCACTATGATTTGTGTTTCCACCACAATTGTTTTGCTTGGGTTTTTTTGAAAACATTAAAAATAAGGTATCATTTTGGGGGAGGATGTGCCTACTGAGAGTTTATCTGTTAACCACTTATACATAACTTGTGAATAGCCAGAGCGACTATTTCACCGAAACAAGCTTAGCATTTGTAGCGAGGCTTTGGCTGCAACCCGAGCTAGAGGGGGATCGAAGGCCCTAGATCTTCAGATAGAACTTGATTTACTTTCCAGGTATATTACATTACTGAAATATGACAAAAATGTTGAATTCTTGTGTTGCTTACATTAACATATAAATGCCTTAATCATGTGACTTTTATCTGTGTACTTTGCAGTCCTAAGGATCACCTGGAATTTACTATTGTGCGAGAGTGGATCAGAAGAAAACTAGAGGCAAGTGATTTTGGATACCTTTCATATTAATGTGCGGTTCTTGTTTGTGATGGAGTTGCATATGTAACTTGCTAATGGTAAGGGGAACATCAACAATCAAAGTTCATCAAATAGCACTAATGATTTATGTCCTTGTACTTCTTCTTGTGTTAGTGTAAATTTCAAGTTAATACTTGTTAAGGGCATCACTGTTATGTGTCATTGCTTGGATGAAGTGAGATCTCTCCCCTCTCTCACACGTACACAACCCACACATTGGTGGTTGCTCCATTATTCATTATTTTACTTGGAGTCAATGCTAAGCATCCCCCTTGGTGCTTTGTTTATATTAAGTAAAGAGCAGTATGACAGATGGCACAATCGCACGACAGAAAATGTATT